TCCAACTGTGAGGAATGTTAGCTTTGGCTTGTACATGGAGTTTGGTTTTTATATTCCATTTATTTTCTTCCTTTTCATTAGTCTACCTTTCAGCAATAAAAATAGCTTCTCTTCCCCCCCCACCTCTCACCTCTATGCCTCAGCTTAAGGAGATACTAGTAAGATTAAGTCTCTCCCAGGACAGACTGACTAACATCTCGTTATGCGTGTTTATCTTGGATGGCTCAGCTTTCTCACTCTTCTACCTAATCAGGCTCTGTAAAGGATGGTGTGCTAAGAGAAAGATGGCCGTAATCTTGTAGGACTTCATCCAGCTTGGAGCTCCAAGAGCTATTATTATTACCTCAGAGCTTGTAGGGTCTTACTGTTTCAGCTTGCATGGCTGGCTCAGCTGCTACCTGTAGACACTTGGTGACAGCAGAGGTGTGGGTCTTTGGGGTATGCTTACAGGTTGTATAGGAAGCAGGGCATATACCTGCAATGGTAGGCAGAACTTGATTGTGTTAAGATTTATGCTGTGAGGCAGCTGAAGAAATGCAAGTTCAGCAGTATCTATGTTGCCCTAACGAGGATGGTCAAATGGTTCCTATTACTGAAAATTCAATTAGTTTGAAGTGCCAAGCAGTTTGAGAGGGATTCAGCCTGATAAGCATAAAGGGCATAATAAGGAGAGACTGAAGAAGAAAGTTAGCTGCCTTTAACCAGCTCTGGAAAGAGAATGTGGTGGGAAAAGTATGTAAAATAAACAGCTTACTATCTCTGTGGGTACAGTAAATGCATACCACAGCAGAGGATCTTGAAACAAACAAAAAAACCCCCAAAATGTGAAAATACCATGAGGAGTTTTCTGTGGGGTAGGGAACTTCCTTCTAGGAGGTATTAAGGACCAAAAGCTTGTAAGGCTTGAAAATATATATTGATGAAGCTTTAAAATGACAACAGCATAGCAAAGCTAGAGTGACTCTTGAGAATCTCCTGTCTCCTAACAGCCAATATTAATTAGCAAAAATTGAGAAGCAGTTCCTGGTAGAGTATAAATAGCTCAGCTAGAGTAAACCAGGACTTTGGTCACTTTGAGGCTGCAGGGGTGAATTCAGATTATTTTGAGTTGGTCATTTTGACTATTCAAAGGATTATGAACTGGAAAAGGAAAATAGGAGCAAAACATGTTCAGACCTTGCTTTGGAAGGGACATCTAATTCCTAATTATAGGAAAATCTGCCTGGCTTAGTGTAGGAAATGCTAATGTCAACTGGCTGCCTTGTGTCTCTCTCTTCTTTTTCTTTTTTTTTTTAAATTGAGTTAGGCACCTTAATAAGCAGCATCAGCATCCTACAGTGTGCCTGCACAAGCATTTGTGTCCAGTTCATGGCAAACCAGACTGGGGAGCTGATCCAGCTGGAAAAGAACCTTTCTCAGAAACAAAAGGAAGTGTTTTGGTTTTACCCAACTATAAAAATTCCTTGATCTAGTTCTCTCTGTAGTAGCAAAAACACTTGTGTTGGCATACTGCCATGGGCAACAAATAGCCAGAGATGAAAATGTGTTGGCAGTTGTGATGGCAGCTGAGGTATATCAAACTGCAACCTAGAGTGGCTTTCATTGGTAGGAGTGTGATGATGGTAAATTTTTTTTTTCCACTTGAACATTCATTATGTCATTATTAGCAAGAAGGAGTGCCCAGCAGGAAGAGATTTATAGTGTGAAGCAGTTAGTACTATGCCCGCAGTGTATGCCCAGCCTGGTGGCTTGCTTTGGACCAGCATTAGTCCAGGGCAGCATGCTGAACACCTAATGGCGGCTGCAGTGTGTTTCTGGCTCTGTTGGAGTGGATTACTGCTGGGTGAGACTGGTCCTCTCTAAAGGAGGGTGAGGAAGGAATTCACTTTCAGTGCTTCTGATCTGAAGTAAAACTCCTAGGGTTTGTGCTTGATATTGAGAAATGGAATTTGCTGGTGGGGGGAACAGTAGAAACTGGGAGCTGACATGTGAAGGCTTTTCTGGCTAACACCACTTTCACCCATGTCCCATTTAGCCCTTAAATACATACTAAAAAAAAACTTTCTCAATGGAGTGATCTGATTTTAAAAAGTATTGCTGGTAAGTGTGAGTTCCTAAAATGAGAAACTTTTTTTGAATTTCCACTTTGCTTGTGTTTCAGAACTGATTGGGTTGCACTCTGTCAGAGAGGGCCTAAATGGTTGCAACTCAAGGATTACTTTTAGTGGCTGGTGGGATTAAAGAATGTGGATAACCGTACAATTCAGCTTGATTCTGAAAGTGCCATGCTTCTGTGATTTCATTTGCCTCCCCTTTATCCTTTCATGCAACTGAATGCATCAGTTCATTAACTAAAGACTAATATCCTTCTGTCTATTTTCTCATTCTAACTTGTATTATGCTGACTTAAAATTTCAGTGAAACATCTGAAAATTAGAACTACTAAGATCAAAATCTTATTCCTCCCCTGTCTTTGATAGTTTTATTGGATTTGCTTTTTACCTTGGGGAAAAAAAAACCCACACAAATTCTTATATGGCCCTTCCAAACAGAAAAGTGATTAAAC